TTGTACTGGTTTCTACTGCTTCTACTGCTGAAGGCCTTCCTTCCGATCCGTCTTTCTATTTTCATGTTTTAGGGAATTTGTTCAGTTCACACGAAGGGAAAAAACAAAAGTCAAACACTCTGAGTCACAGCCAGCTTTGTCAATTCTTCCTTCTATGCTTAAATTGTTTTCCTTTTTTTTCATTTTGAATTCCTGCCATTTGTGCCACTACCCCTTGCTGTGTTTGTCTTATTGCACCACTCGACAAGGAAATGGAAGATATCACCACCCAATCATTCTATGGTGGCGGCGGCGGTGGTTGAATGGAGCGATTAGAGCACCCTACCTACCTTAGTCCGCGATTATCATAGAGAGCACCCCATCTAGCTGCCACTGCCTGCCTACCTGTCCCCTCGACTCTATAAGAGATTCCCTATTCGCGGGTGGGCAATAGCAGCTCGGATGATCTCTAGATAGTTTAGACGGGTGCTCTCTATCCTGAATCCTATTACTTTCTAGATTTTATTGAACACATATATTTGTTTCCACTAAAGAGGAATAAACAATTACACCCCCCTTGTTTGTGTGAACAAACAAAACAAACATAACAACGTATCTTCCTATACTGCCTACACTTGAAAGAATTGCCTGGGAAATTCACACTGCTCAGACTGCTACTACGGGGTAGGCACCTTTCCTTGAAGCATCGCCCGTGAGTACCCGCGTGGGTAGTCTGATGGGGAATTATTAAGGTTACTCTCTGGGGCAGTAATGACCTCATCGCCTGGAGATTGTAGGAGCCAGCCTCGGAACATTCCTGACTTAAGAGGCCCTGATGAACATTGTAGATATGTAGCTCCAATGACTGACAGGAACTTTGCGGCAATGTTCCCCTAGGGCCTTCAACTTCCTCCAACATGAAGTTGTTGTTCATCGCAATAACATCAAGCGCTCCGAGGTAACTCCGAGGTAAAAGCGTCGGGTGCATCTAGGCCTGGTACTGTTGTTTCGTTGGAAGGCCAAGGCACTGTGCGGGATGTAGCCCTGAATAGCATGAGTACGCATTGCAGAAAGTGTCCAGAATGGTAATTTCAGGGGTTTCTCTGCCGTCTGTATAGAGAGATATGCTAGTTATTTCTTGGAGCTAAACATTCTAGATCAGCCATACAGAAGACGGTTAGATTGCCCACTTGGGCTAAGGGAAGGCGTGTCCCAGGTTTCCATGACTAAATAGATATATTTGTTAGAATGTAGATTCCGTAAGAAAGAACGTTATCAGATCTAACCATAGGGCTCTTGGGCAGCTATTGGAAGATACCTCTGTTTTTCTGCCGCCGGACTTGTGCGTAGACAGGGAAGAATGACTTTGTTCTTCACTTCCAACCATCAGGGTAGGTTAACTTACCCTTGCCAAATTGCAGTTATTCCTTGATTATCTTCTCATAGGTTCCCCGTCCCCGCTCCCTGGTCAATATCAATATGCCCCTTCCACACATGCTGGGTCACGTCCAGAAAGTCATAAAGTGCGACTGAATATCGGATTCGTTATATTATTGTCATTATCATTATGAGTAGTAATTGTAGTAGTAGCAGTATTGACTGCGATAAAGGATTCTCTTTTGTTTGATTTGCTGGACAAGGGGATGTATCCTTGTGTGGCGCCATCAAACTGCCGCCGTAGGGAAACTCTCGAGGCGCTCTAGGCGGGACCATGCGTAACACGGGCTTTCCCTTGGCCTGGGATGGGAAAAGCAAAGGAACAGAGGAATCTGTCAAGAAAAAACAAGAAAAGATAAAACGGGAATCGCAGTGTGCTAAAATTAAAGAACAAAACAAAAACTCAGTGCAGTGTACAGTATCCTTTGCCCGAAGAGTGACTCGGCTAGAGGGAGGCAAAATGGCAACGAGAATCTTGGCGTATGAGGCGGCTCCTTAGCTAAGCGTATCAGGCTGGCTGGTCTCTTTGCGGTTTTGCCTCTTCCGTCAGCCCAAACATCTCCTCTTCCTCTCTCTCCTCTTGTCCATTTCTCGCCCTTCCGTCCTCCCTCGAATCTTCCACGCCTCTCCCATCTGCTTTCTTTCCATTTCCCATTCGCATCATCTCTCCCGTCTTGCTTTTCTCTTTTGGCCCTCTCTTCAGATACCCTTGCTCCACGTCTGTGTCGTGGTGGTTGTTTCTCTGCTTGCTGTCTAGTCTCTTCAACGGCCACCCCCTCCTCTCCCCAGTCCGTTAAAATCTCCTCAAGGTTATTTTCTCCACCGTTTTGTCTATCAGCTCACTATCACTCCCAATTCAAGGTTGGTGTGCCTTCATCCGTCCTACTGTTCAATTTTGAATCTTTGTTTTTCTAGACACGCTGCGCTGGTATCCACTCGCTGCCTCGTGTGACTTGGTAGCTCTGGCCATAAACACCTGATTATCTGATCTCAAACTTTTGCAACAACCCATGCTAATACACAATAAATACAGTGTCTTCCATTATTTTCTCTCATTGACGCAAATCTCGACCCATAATCCAGATCGACGCTGCCCCATTTTGAAACCGTTCCGTCGCTCCATATCAAGCTCCCGTTCTGACCTCGCGTTTTACTTTTAGCTTTCTTTTTTTTCCTTTTCTTTTCTTTTCTTTTCTTTTTTTTTTTTTTCGGTTCAAAGCCTCATTTTCCGCCATTTGTTTCTTATATGTTTCCCTTTAAAGAATTTGATCATCGTCTGATCATTTAAATCATCACGGAGCTTATACCCCCTCTCTGGTATTGTTGTTGTTCGAACCCTCGTGTTTTCCGCCCAATAAATACCCCCTTTGTAATTGATGTAAATTGGGCCATCCGCGGTTCACTTGGATATATTTTTTCTCATTTCATCCTTTTCAACCGGTACGGATTCCCGAACAAAATATTGCACTAATATCTTAACCTGCTAATATTTCTTCTAGCTTTTACCCACTTTTAGCTTTTGGTTCACTGAAAATATTGGCCTATCCCAGTGACAACAGCAACATCGATATCCGTCATGAGGGAGGTCAATTTCAGCATTCCAAATGTCAACAAGGCGGCCGTCAACATTACGACTACCCTTTACGACCGACGTGCCCTTGACTGCACTTCAACCCTTCCACTCATCAATTCGCTCAACCATCTTGCCTATCTCACCACATCGTCTGCGAGAATTCGTGATATACTTACAGTCGACGGAGGGATTGAGCAGCTAGTATGCATACTAAAGGAAGGGAGAAGCAAGGACTTGATGGAGATGTGGAAATGGAACTTGGCCTTCCAGTGTGTCGTCAATATTGGAGTCCGTGGCACTGAAAACGTGAGGACGAGAGTTGTTGAGGCAGATATTGTGCCGGTCGTTGCTACAATCCTCGATAACTACATTCGCGTCGTCGATAAAATAAGGGCACGCGCTGATGCTGAAGCGCGGCGGAACACCTCGAGGGTGTCTAAAACATCGTCCCGTTCACGCGACCAGACCAATCGCTCATCTTTCTTTGAAAGAGCTCCCACAACTTCAGACCATCGCACCACTCGTCGACAAGCCCCACCCCCGTCGATTGAGATTCCTCATCCGTATTCCCGAGATGCCCAACACGGAGAGTCTGGCGAAGTGGAAATCACTCCGTCTCCTCAAGTCATCCTAACGTCTCCCCCAGAGCGTACGACATTTTCTCGTGACGCACGCAGCCACAGAACACATGAAGGTCGCCATCAGCCGGTAACACATCGCCATCGAGTAATGCAGCCTCTGGCAACTGCTATCCCTCCTGTGGATGTCACAGCCGGTTTTGGCCTTCGACCTGTTCGTGATGCCGATAGGTTGCCGTCTGTGGTTCCAGGCCTGCAACCAGGGCTTAACTCCCAGCCAGAGTCACCGACCACACCCCATACTGTAGGTGAACATCAAAATTCTGTTTCGCTGAATGCCCGGCCAAGACGACGCCCTTCGATTCGCCAACGACCTTCGGCATCGGGCGAGTCTGACGATGCAAATGGAGATGATGTGGTCATGGGAGAGGACCCTTCTCCACACCACGTTGCTGAACCTATAGTTGATGTGCAGAATGGAATGGAAATCGATAACGTTGGCGAGAGTGGCTCCATGCTCGATGGTAGTTCCGAAACCCATGTAATCACGATTCCAAACCCATCCGATACTCCCGAAGCTGAAACTTTCAACATCACTCACCCTTCTGCAATTGACGTAAGCATCATAAACACAACAGCACAGCCCGGAAATGGTGTTCCTGGCCTTTCGCCCGTCCGCCAAACTGCGTTGAACACTGCATCTCCCGTTCCTCAGCAGACGCCCTATCCTTTCTACTTGAGAGATCGCCAAGTTCCACCGGGAGTTTTGACTGCGATGCCACGTGATGAAGATGTTTTGATGGCTTTGCAACTTCTAGCATACGTCTCGAAATATTGCAATCTGCGCTCGTATTTCCAAAAGACACATCTTGTTCCGAAATTGAAATTGGGGAAGGATATTCGCCTATTGGACGATCCAAATGCTCCGTCTCAGCCTTCACTAGAACCGGAGGAGGAGGAAGAAGAAGAAGAAGAGGAATATCTACTTCCAGATGACTTTAACATCTTCCCGCTTGTTGAAAGATTCACCATTCGACACCACACCAAGGATATGCAATACTGGGCCTGCGTTGTTATGCGAAATCTCTGCCGTAAAGATGATGCGCGGGGAGGAATTCGTCAGTGTGCATACTATAAATGTGGGAAGTGGGAGGAGTTCCAACGCCAGTTTGCCAAATGTCGACGATGCCGCAGGACAAAATATTGTAGTAAAGAGTGTCAGAAGAATGCCTGGGCATTCCATCGTCATTGGTGCCACATCACACCGGGCCCTTCCGAGCAGGCGCAACAACAATAAACAAAGATACTTTCTACCGGCCTCGTTTATCCTCCTAGATCTCTCGACTCTGAACGCCAAAAACATTTTTCAGCTACCTCCATCTTAAATCATAGCGAAACACATTACCAATCATCATCGATTCCCCGATTATTTTAAAATCAAGTAACTTTTTTGAAGATGCTTTTTGTGCTTCTCTTTCGCCCTTAATCAGAATCAAACTGGCAGCCAACACTAGTTTTACAGACATATATATATAAGTATATAAGTATATATATATATATTTAGCTTTCGTTTTTATAATTCTCGAATCACACGAACGAATTTCCCTTATCTTGCAGTGTACGCTTTCCTCACATCGCGTTTCCCTTTTTTTGACATCTATGGAATGAAAAGTGTATTGATTTCCTCCTTCCGACAGGGAAATTCTCTTCTCCCCTTTCCCCTGCAAATGCGCTACTTTCGTCTCGTTCCATTTTGTACCTCTTGCTGAGCTAGAACTCCATTTCTTAATACTATCCCCCCATTTATCATTTTTCTTTTACTTACATATCCACAGATGGGACGGACGAAGGCTGGCAGAGACGTAAAGGTATTTATATTAGGCGAATGCTTCTGCATATTTGATGTTTCCGCTCTACATTATATTAATTTTTGTTTTTATCTCTTTTCCGATGTCTCTATTCAATTATGGATCTTTTTTGTACCTTCTACAGCCACGCGCTTTGCCGGCCATCCTTCTAGCTGAACTTTTGATTTATTAAACGTTTTGTTCCTTTTCATTTGACAGCGATTCCTTTTGAACTGCGCTTTCTTTGGCTTTGCTTTGCTTTAACCGTATTCTCTCTCAATAAAATGAACAAACGTTTCTCTCCAGCATGTAGTACATGGATTATCCATTCGTTTACCCCTTTCGTTCGTGGAAACCGCTTCCTATCGTATTAATTAATTTGTCTAGCTTGCTTCTTGCGAGAATTTGTATACGTAACTCAGGGGGCGTAGTGCAGTGTCAGCTTCTCCATCCTACTTTTGGTGGGGGGACGCCCATGATATATTATTATCCACTTCAACCCCCTTATTTGAACAAGATTTTCAATTGAACTTGGGTGCTAAGTGGAATGTTGGCATCATAATTGGATGGAGGAGTTAGCTCAAACAATGAATGGAATACGAACCTACAGTTTGCTTCCTTGTTTTTCTTTCCAAAATATGTCCTTGGAGGGGGCCGGCTATTTTTCTTTGTTTTCTGTTTTCAGATCATCCTCATCGGTTGAAGCTTATCTTTCTGTTGGCTTTCCAACAGGTGGGCGTGATACTTGGTTTACTTTTATTTTTATTTTAATTTATTCGCAGCCAATTTGTCCATAACTTAAGATGGAAGATACAACAGTAACCAGCTAATAAAAATAAGGTTTGTTTCTGTATGTAACAATTCCTAGGGGAAGAAAGGGGTAGCTATACCACTTGATGGAAGAATATTGCATTGTTCGGACTAATGAGTACTCCTAGGTATACGTGAATAAATAAACAGTAGAAAGTTATAACCGATCACTGATATTCCTCCTTTGATCCGCCATAGGTCGCCGCCAATCTCCCAGCCAAATGCTCTCTCGCAGTAAGAGGGGCTTCCCCAGCATCGCCAGCATTACCGCTATTCCCAAGCCGCTGCCGCTGGCCTATAGCCGCAATCGTATTCTGTTTTATCCGCTCCTCAACGAGCTGGCTAGGAACAGGAACAAGCTCTGTGTGATCCACTGGATGACAGAAATATGCTATGCTATATCTATCACGACTTTGATCGCTTCTGTCCTGCTGTTGCTGGTGGTGGTGGTGGTCCTCCTGTGGAAATACAACTCGGTGCACCGTAGACTTCAGTAGCCCAGCCGTCCAGTAGCTCAGGAGATCACCGATGTTTATCAGTATTGGAGGAAATATCGCACCCATGCCACTGCCAGCAGCAGTGGCACCACCATCGCCACCATCGGTAATGGGCCGAACAGGGACAGGCGCCCACTCTCCCGTCGACGTAAGGATTTCCAACCCTGGTTGCCCATCTCGCTGGAAGAGGAGGGTGATGCTTCCGTAGTCGCTGTGCGCGCCCGCACGGACGTCAATACCGTGCTTGAAGGTCGAAGAGGCTGGTGAGTCAATTGAAGGGTAGTAGAGGAAGCGTAACGTGCAGCCGGAGGGGCCCAGGACGGGATCGTGCCGGGACGTGAACCAGTTTTCGGGGATCTGTTTTTGGGGGAGGGGTTAGTTCTATTGTTTGGCATATATACCCTTTTGTAACGCCATTTCTATTTTCCCATTTTTTCTATATCGCCAAAACCTTGGAGATAAGGAAGAGAATCTGTTTACATCTAGGCCTATCGCGAGGAGAGTGAGAATCCGATTACATGTCTTTCGGCATAAGTCGATGAATCGAGCTAACTCAGCTTCGTGGGGAACAAGGGACTTGGGAAGTTCCTGCTGGGCTTTGTTTTCTTTGAATTCGTGAATGTTCATGGCTCTGAATCGATGTTTCTTAGCCAAGGCCTATCCTTGCATACCGGGTGGGTAGACAGGGAACTGAGTCAGGCTGCAAAGGGAAATATATATACTCTTTGAAATCCCCTCTCTGCACCAAACAAAGCCATGTGATAGTGATACTTTGTTAGCCAGATGCTCCTTCGGATGCGTAGGTAGTTGAAGCGGGGAAGAGGAATATTGAGCTGTTTTTAGCAGCAAAGCTCACCTGTTGATGTTCGGGGTCAAGCGTTTCTGCATGCATTCCAGACCAACCCTTATTCTATATTAAAACTTCAATTAATTGATGGGTTCATAGCGCGTGGGCAACTCTTTTACAAAGTGGGAAGAACATGTCATTACCAGCGTTGGGCAATATATCCTAATACACATACATTTGTACCAATCGCAACCGCAGCTTTTTCCTCATAAGGAGAAGCAAAGAAATCCCGCCCCTAAAATTGAAATTTCAGCCATCAGTTCTTGCCAATATCAATCTGAAAATAGATTGACCAGGCTTCGATGAGCATGAAGAGTAAATCTGGCATGATTGGGTAGGTACAATTAGACATACCATGGCAAACGCGTTTTCCACGTCGGCATTCGAGAAATCACTGCTGGAACTATCAACGTAAAAAAAACCAATCTTAGTCGCAGCATCGATCATAGCCTTTCCTACTGCGGGTGTGGCTTCCGAGATATTGATCACCGGCAGCTGCACGGGCGCGGCTCTGGACAGTTTATTCTCGGTCATGATTGAAGTTGATGATGATATCAATACGCTTTCGTTGATGGGCAAGGTAGATTTGAATTCAAAGTCCCTGATTTCCACTTATTTGCTGCTCTTTGCTCTGATTCTTAGGCTTTTGCACCAAGTTGCACAGAATTGTCGATGGAGGTGGGGATATAGGGACGGACTGCAGGTTTAACAGTCATAGTCACACTTTTAAGCAGCGCGGAGTATATCTTTGTTGTCGACGAGACATGGTGCTAAAACCTCTGTTTTCATTATTAGGCGATGAGGGCGATTCCAAGGTTGAGAGTACGTACTAACTAAAGGATGATATATGTTGTTACATATTCTCACAAGAAAAAGCGCGGGTGTAGGAGGTTCCAAGTAACCCCGGCCATGCTTGATATGGCCACGGCCCTGCTGTTGTGGCCACGACCCGCTCCTCTTGCCCTTTTCATCTCCGCGACTTCGACTTCAACCTCAACTCGTGCATTGCATTCGCGCTCCCTTTATATTCCAACCACGATTCTCTGATTCTGTTCTACCGACAGCTGCGTTCTTGTATCGACGTTCAGTTTTCCAGCAGTGGTCTGTTGTAAATGATACCTTGGATTTGTCGGTTTTTATTCTGTCGTCCGGGCTTGGAATCACGCATATCAATCGGCCTTTGCTAGCTAACTAAATCGGGGGTTGAGCTCTGCCCTCGCTTTTGGCTCAAAGGAGCTCCACGACTGCGAGTATCTGCCTGACCACCCCTTATTTGCTAGCTGAGCAAATACCTCTACACTATGCCGAGTATGTACGAAAGGGTTGCTCAGCCAGTGCTGTGCTCTTCTTGCCGCCCAAAGCTGACCAAACTTTTGTCCGTTTCTAGTTCGTGCCTTCGATGAGTGGGCTAGCAGTCGTGCCCAAACCCTACCTCTTGCAACCCTCAAAGGTGCTGTCATAGGCATTGATGCTTCCCACTACCTTGATCAACACCTCAATCACCATGCGACAAAAGAGCCCCTCCTCATTGCTCTTGGAGGCTTCCCATTTTCTCTCAGAGCCAATATCGAAAAGGAGATCCAAGTCCTGAAGAACCAAGGCGTTACCTGTGTCTTTGTCTTCAACGGTCTTAATTTTGGGAAACGGGAACCTGATTTCACTTCTCAAGCTGATTCTACTCGTGCACTGGAGCAAGCATGGGAGTTGTATGACCAGAAACAAGCGGACCAGGTTGTTGATGCCTTTAGCTCAGCTGGTATGTGGAACTTTCCAGAGATAGAACGTTCCTGTCTTAGGTCGCTTCTAATATTCGACTTGTAGGGAGCGCAAAGCCCGAGATCCTTTATAAATTCTTGCAAAGAATCCTACATGATCAAGGTGTAGACTTTCTTGTTGCGCCTTACGCTGCTTCTGCACAGGTAACCTTCCATACACTCTCCTCTGTGGCTTGGATTATGTCTAATTGCTCATGCTGATGTCTCTGTAGCTTGCTTACCTGGAGAAAGGCCCTAACCGTTTCGTTGATGCTGTTTTCGGCCCATCAGAACTCTTTCTTTTCGATATAGATAAAGTCATCACTAGGCTGGATACGGATATTTTTCGATTCACATGGATTACTAGACAGGTATGCCAAGATGATCTAGGACGGATAACAAACGAGCAGTTTATCGAGTTCTGCTTGCTTCTTGGCTCCCGATTTCTCCGTACATTCCCACCCTTCGAGAATGCGACATTTCCTGGGAAGGGGGTTAATATCCGGGAGGCGATGACCGCATATAATAACGCCGGACGAAATGCTTTGGTTCTTTGTGGCCAAATTGAAGATGAGCATCGTGTTAATGATTTGCCGTATGCTGAAAGTTTTAAGCGTGCCCTCATGACAGTGAAACACCATATCATTATGGATATCGATGGGAAGGTTGACCCTATGGATGCCGAGAATGTATCCAACGATTTACATGAACTCATCGGCCAGCGCCTTCCGGAGGAACTTTACTTTTACATGTCCAAGGGAATTCTTGGATCTCAAGTGTCCGACTGGTTAACTTCGGGCGAGCTCCTTATCAGGTTACCACTAGGAGCTGAGGACTCTGACATCTACCGCCGTCTTCAGGGAGATCTTCTTACTCCCATTCGAACCCAAGCCCTGTGCCTGCTTTCTAATTCTCTTCATCGGTTCTACCAAACTAAAGCAATAAATGTCTGTACCTGGTATGCGCCGAAATCTACGCGCTCTATTAACCTCAAAGAGGACTTACCTTCGGTTAAGGAGTCTACTATGTCGTGGAAACTTCGAAGCGATAAATTCCCAGAAAGTGTCAAGCAACTCCAGGTATGTCCTACAGCGGCATTCGGCACTGTATCGCCGTTTGTACTGATTTTGTGTGTTAGGCCGATTCTCTTCCATTTGCATTCGCCCTTCGAGCACTGAAAGATCAAGAGTTTGTTACCAAGTCTTTCTCAACGCGGGATGCACCGGTAAGTACTATGCGATTCTTAAAATACGATGATGTTCTTATTATCTAACATTTAAAGCCTCTATCGTCAAAATCTGAAATTCTTGCGAATGTGATGTGGAGGCTATTGCAATTACGGGGCTATGTCAATGATAAGCACCGACTCACCCAATGGGGACAAGCGTTGGAAACAGCCATGTCGTCATTAAACCCTACGGAGAATTTGGAAGAATCGACCTTTATAGCAGTGGAGCTTTTGCGGCTCGGGATTTTGAGCTCTAAGGATTGGTTCGCTAATATCTCTGGCGGCCCAATGAGGGGTACCGGTAAGTGATATTGAACTCTCACAGGCTTGCTTGCGTTTGTTTACCGTACTGAGGTTTCCATTAGATGAGGAGAAAAAGTTCAACCTGCTGGTGTCACAAGTTGCATGCATCGGTCAAATTCGTCACAAACCCATTGGCTACTCAGGTCCTCTGAGTAGACAGCTCTTGTCCTTCCGTTCCCTAATATGTGCTGTCCGGTCGAGCTTGCGAGACTTAGTTGAGGTTGTCCTAGCAAGTCTTTTGCTCAACGGGGAGGCAGACCGTGATCGCGATGACTGGGCGGATCTGGGGCTCAGGTTAGTCTAAAGAAACTAAATGTCAATGAGGCGAACTAATTCAAATTTTAGTCTTCCTTTTATTGATGATAATAATTGCGGACTTGGAATCGCTGTTCGGACGTATCTTGATGATCTTCCACAGCAATCGGAGCCAACATCGCCAAGGGTTCGGGCTGAGGTGAAGTCCAAAGGTAAAGAGTGGTTTCAACATAGCGATAGTTTTAGCGGAAATCTTGACCTGGCGTTTACACTTTGGGATGCGGTATGCCCAGACCCATTACCTAAAGTTATTGATGTGAAATGAAACATGAACTAATTATGTCCGCTAGGCCTATCAAGCATCTCAAAATGCTGGGAAGGAGTTCAAAGATGCGAAATTGTGGGAGGAAGCTAATAAATGGTTGGCGGAGCGAAGATAAATTGAGGGTATTCTCCTTTTTACCCTTGCTCTGCCTATACATGACTCTGAAGCGACCCTTGCATTGCTCGACAGAAATCGTAGGACTCCGTTCGATATCTGCTTTAAAGTCTATCAATAATACCGGGGGGGAATAATTTAAGCGAGTCCGGTATCAATGTATTTCTATTATGTTCATGGGCCATATCCTAGCGGCTGTCTGGCCGTGCCTGAAACAATCGAAAATCACCAACCACGGATAGCAACTGCTACCTAGCGTTAAATATTTAAATTAGGGATATCCAGTCCAAGCTCTAGGAAGTTTCCCCCGTCCAGGCTTAGGCCGTAGCTTAACTAGAACTAGAAATTAGTAATCAAGGTGGCAACAGCTTGTCCTCTTGTCAAAAGTGTCAATGCCATCATCATACTCAGTCGGGTAAACAACATAACTTGAAAAGAAAAGAATACATCCACTCCTGGGGAGTGGCGCATCTTCAGGATATTCCAAACTGTGGTTTGAAGTTTAACCTCCCTCTCACTGCCACAGACCACAACCTCCAAAATGGCACGCCTAAGCTACCTCCTTCTGGCCTCGACCTCCCTCCTGCTGAATAACGTAGCCTCCACCAGCGCCCTATCCTCCGTACTCGACCTAACTCCAGATAATTTCGAAAAAGTTGCCCTCAAATCAGGCAAACCGGGTCTAGTCGAATTCTTCGCCCCTTGGTGCGGGCACTGCAAAAATCTGGCCCCAATCTACGAGGAGCTGGCGGCAGACTTCTCCTTCGCTAGCGACAAGCTACATATTAGCAAAGTCGATGCGGATGAACATAGGGAACTAGGCAAGAAGTTTGGCGTCCAGGGCTTCCCAACACTGAAGTGGTTTGATGGGAAGAGTGACAAGCCCGAGGAGTATAATGGCGCGCGGGACTTAGAGAGCCTGTCCAAGTTCGTGACGGAGAAGACGGGAGTTAGGCCAAAGGGTGCGCTGAAGGTGGCCAGCAATGTCCTGATGTTGACTGATGCGACATTTTCCAAAGTCATTGGAGGGGAGAACGACGTTTTAGTCGCATTTACGGCGCCGTGGTGTGGGCGTACGTCTTCCCCATTCTTCCCCATCTTCTTCACATTTCCAATCCCACCTCACCATCATCTTTTTCTGGATATACGTTTGGCTAATGACATTCTACAGATTGCAAGGCGCTGGCTCCAATCTGGGAGAAGCTCGCGAACGATTTTCAACTCGAGCCCCACGTCACAATCGCCAAAGTTGACGCTGATGCTGAAAACTCCAGGAGAACTGCTGAATTGTTCGATATCAGATCATACCCAACTATTAAATTCTTCCCCCGTGGCTCCAATGATCCAGTAGACTACGCTGGCGGCCGCTCCGAAGAAGATTTCGTTGTATACCTGAACGAGAAGTCCGGAACTCATCGTGTTGTTGGCGGCGGGCTGGATCGGGAAGCTGGCACAATTGAAATCCTGGATGACATCGTTGCCAAATACGTTACTGGTAGCGAGAAGAGCATTTCCAGGCTCATGCGTGAAGTTAAGGCCGCGTCGAAGGAATTGGAGGGACGATATGCGCCGTACTACTTCAAGGTGTTAGGGAAGTTGATTGAGAATAAAGGATATGTGGCGAAGGAGTTGTCAAGGTTAGAGAGGATTGTGACCAAGGGCGGCCTGGCACCGGAGAAGCTGGATGATTTGGTGTCGAGGAGTAATATTCTGCGGAGGTTTACTAAGGAAAAGGAGGAGCCAAAGGCGAAAGATGAGCTGTGAATGAACCGTTTATAAATACATTTCCTTAAATAAGTGAGGGTTTGGTATACTTTCGGTTGGCAGGGGTGTGCGCGGTATCCTGGACTGTTGGAGTAACGGGAGATGATGAAAACAAGTGATGCATCTTCATCTACAAGTCTTTGGAAAGGCAAGTATGCTTTAATTCTTGATTTAATGCATGGCTTTCTAGCTTTCTGTATGATTGATAGCTTTGGTTTTGTGTTGTTTCTTTCCCCATTCAACCTGTTCAATTTCTCATAGAAAATGTATGAAATTAACTGGGTATTAAACATAACAGAGGAATAGAAATGCTTCCAGAGCAAAGCAGAAACACCAAAGAAACCCAAACAAGAAATTAAAAAGAAATCGCAACATCATATTAGAAGAATAAGATTGCAAATATTATAGAACTTGCGCATCTGTTTAGCTTTATAAAATGAAAATGAAAAAAACCCCTTGTGATCAGCAAATATAAAACAGTAAAATACAATCCGGATAACAATATGTTATTTTAACAACATTATTTTCTCCCATATTCTGAAGGCAAGCTGGTTTTGAAACGAGGTTCTGTTGTGCTGACTATCCAGATTCACTGGTAGGGGTATGAGCGTGCGAACGAGGAAAGATTGCGAATTCCCAAGCATATTATGTATCCTATACCGTTCTGTAAATCCGAGGTAAAGGAGAAAATAATTCAAACCCAATCTCCATGATTTATGGGAACGGAAAGGAAAGGGACAAGAACTCCATTTTGATGAATGAGAGACTAATCAGCTCGTCACACTAGTTTCAGGGGAACTAGCGAGGGCAGCTTCGAGTTGATCCAGTCTTCGCGCCATATCATCCACTAGTGGGGAGAAGGGAGTTTGGAGTTAGCGATTTGTTGTATATAAGACGCATACATGTGTATGGAGAAGGTTGTTACTTAGTAGACGATGGCTGTGAGGAAGTGGAGGGGATGCGGGAGGGCCATGGCTGGAAGGAGGGAGGGACCAGAGTGAACCATATTCTTTCGCCAGAGAAAAAGGAAAAAGGAAGTGTATATATTACACCATGGACGTACATTTCCCAAAGATCTCTGTTGATACTTTGTCGAATTTATTCTGAAGCTGGTCTAGCAGCTCATCGACTGCTTGAGCCAATTGATTTGAGCT